AGGAAGTGTTAATGAATGTCAAAAGTAAATATCATCCCCACTATCTTCGGAGCGAGCACGTGGCAGAGGGAATTGTTAACCTAAGCACTTTTCGGTAATTTCAGTCTAAAATAAATATGACCCTTATTTAAGCTATACGGTAAGGAGCGCACAAAAAACACTCACACCCCAACGACATACACCAGCAATGGGACATTTAATTCTGAGTTTCTTATCACATCACACTTGGGCCGTTCTACAATAACTAGCTGGCAGTAATATTCCTAAATAGTAGTACAATATAATTAAGTTTGTCATTCAAATGAAACTTTGTGAAAAGGCGAAATTCATTTTCCATCCCCTTGAAGAAATTAACGTTTAACAATGGCAAGCAGGATAAGCTTAAAGCCAGCACCTTAGGAACAGCGAAGTAACACCAGCGACAATGGCAAAGGCAACGGCAGTGAGCACACGCAAAATTTACATTTATCTTTTTTAGATTTGTTATTTTTCTGTGTTTAACTGTTTGTATTGCCCTTAAAGTGTTGTAATTACTTTAACACGTTTTAACGTTTCTTTTTTTTTTTTTGTTCTCCTCCATTTGGTCTCCTTTATTTTGTTTTGAGATTTCCCCCAATCCAGTCATGGCATTGACACTATAAAGTAAAACCTTTTGCTCGTTATGCTTATTCCTCGTCCTTGCAGCCTTCATCCCTGGGAGTGTGAAATATTTTGGTTCTGTGTGTGTCAGTGTATGTGTGTGTGAGAGAGGATTCGTGCCAAATTTAGTCCTTTTTATTGTTGGACACAACAAAGTAATGTTTACATTTTTTTTGTTCGGTCGCTTAAAAGCCCAACAGCTATTCATGATGGCATTGGCTTTGACTCTAGATTTACTTTTTCCTGTGAGTATTCTAGCCTGTCCCAGCCCAGACCAACAACCATCCAAGTCCAACTATGAAGGCCCCAAGTGTGAGTGTCCTTAGCAGGCGAAATGACGTAAATAACTTTAACATAATTTGCTTTTAATTGATTTGGCAAACATTTTTGTTTGTTTCTAGGGGACCAACATTTTGGACATCCGACTACAACTAGAGAATGAGCATGAAATGAAATGTAAAGAGAACAAACAATTTACAAGGGTTGTTTGACCAGTTTAGGCCTCATCTTGGATGTACGCACAAATGTAAGTGTTAAAAAGGTCTTTGTTTGTTGTCATTATGGGTTAAAATTTTATTTCAATTAAAAACTGCAGAAGGGGGAAATCGTTTATCTTTTCCATAAATGGTTAAAATATTAATCAAATCAAAATTATAAGATGAGCAAGAAGAAATTTAATTTTTTTGCAATATTCTAAACTGGACAGCCAGTTTATATGGGAGAACTTAACATTGCAAAATATTATGTATTTCTATCTCGGATATCTCAAAAAGAGGGAAGTCATAGGGGTATGTTTATTGTGCTGATTAAAATGCCATAAATTTATTCGAACTAAATAGTTGGACATTGAATTATGGCATTCTTCTGAAAATTTTACCACAAACCTATATATGTCTTCAGTGTAGTGTGTGTACAAAAGCAAACGGGAGCTCATATCTTTAATTTGTTGTTTTTTTTTAATAAAAAATTTCCAAAAAATTGAAAACTTGACTCTAGATGTTGCTTGAAATAAAATACCATGTTTTCAATTGACAAAGTTTACTCAGTATTGTTGTATTTGAGAACCCATTTTTATTATTTCCAAAAGATGGAAAACAATGTAACGATATTGACCTTCCCTCCATTCCATTTCAAAGTATGACAAGTGCATTTTTTCTCTGCCAGTCTATATTTGCGTAAATTCCACATATAATGTTACCTCCCAGCATTCGCTATTTCGACAATATAACATTTTCAACAGGACAATTTTAACCTTTTTTAAAAGACCTTGATGTGGGACTTAACCCGCAAGTAGAAAATTTGCGTATATGGGTCCACGTTTTCGTATAGCCATGTTCAACGGGATTCGTGATATTAATTATTTAAATATTTGTTATCGGAAATTTTTCTAATTTAGTATTTGGGGATCGTTGATACTAGTCTATGTTGGCCAATGCTCTGGTATGGCCAATATTTCCCAATTTTCCACATTTAAAATATTTTAGTGACATATTTAGAAATTTGGTAATTCAAATTGGTAATGGGTACCATTTTCACTTGCAGAAAATATATCGACGGTTTTTTATCGCACCCAAGCGGGGGTGTACCACTCAATATTCGGTATTTTTACATTAAAAATATTTGAAAAACAATTCCTTTAGACATAGATCCGCGTTTCGTATAAGCTCTTAATAGAGGTACAATCTGATGTCGATTACTATAGAGAAGATTTTCATAAGAATTGTTAAGAATTTGGTATTTTAAATAGGTAATGGATATCAACATCTATGGCTAAAATTTGTCTATAAAGTTCTTCGTTTTCGCGTTGAAGTATCAATCTAAATTAGGTATTGTGAGCATTTTGAAGCAAGTAGAATCGTTTGCAACAAAAAGTTACCAACGTGTGCATTCGAATGGGTATATATCATTTAGTACGACCAAAATGTGCCACATCGAAATAACAGTTTCAGAGCCTAGGTCTAGGTCCATGAACCAAATCCGTTTCAGGGCATTTAGAGTCCATCCAGGACTGTCCGTTCGTCTGTCTGGAGTATCCGATAACTCTCGAAGGGTGCATCCGAATTTATCCAAACTTGGCACATCGAAATATTATTACCAAAACTTACACTGAGTTCGGAAATTGGCAATGTCGGTTAACTGCTTAAGTTATCTCCCTCACAAAGCTTAAAAAAATAAATTACCTTACAGAACAAAAAGAATCATCCATCATCTTGTATTACTGCTAGGTCAGGTGCAAAAAGGAAATTATTGGTCAACTTATTCGGTACCACCCCAAAAAGCAATTCAAAATACGATTTAATAACCGGACATAGACAAAACCCATAAATTGAAAAGTATAAACTTAATTTTCTTATGATGTGAATTTGAAAAGTGTTGTCTGGTCAAATTCAACGCATTTTCAATTGTTGGATCTTTTGACAAAAATATTTAATTGTGTAAGATTTCCAAAAAATTGGCAATCTATTTGATCGTTGTTTAAAATGTACAACCTTTGTGAGAGAGGGACCACAAGAATTGGACTGTTCCAAGCCTTATAAAATAACACTGTGTGTCAAAGATCTCAGCAAATTGGCTGCGGGTTGAATATTTTCAGATCTCTAGTGAAGAGAAACATTTAGCTATGCCAAGAAGAATAACCACTGATTTGTTTCGCAATTTATGAAAGATATAATTATTGAAAATTGGGACCCTTCGTGGGGTATATACCAGAATGAGTGGTCCGATATCTACCATCTCCACACCAAAAATTGCGTTAGTGAAAATTTTGGGATGTTTGAAATTTGAAGAGAATCAGATGCTATTTTCTCATTTTATGAGTGTTTTGGTTATTTAAAGTTTTCACCCTTTTTGGGGAAGGTACCAGAAGAAGTGATCTAATAAATTCTATATTCAGACAGGATCTTATGTTAAAAATATTGATACCCGTAAAATTTGAAAAAAATCAATGCATATTTCGAATTTTACGAGTGTTTGGTTGATCAAAAATTGTGGGGGAGGTTCTAGAAAGTGTTCGTGCCAGATCTTGTGTTGTTCGATATTGAAACGTGCGAAAGACGAAGACAATTGGTCTCTTATTTCACAATTTACAAGAGTTACGATTATTCAAAATTTTGACATTTTATGGGGCAGGGACGGATGGACACCTCTAGATCAAATCCAAAGTGACCTGAATTATCCACAAAAAAGGTCGTAAAAAGAAAAACTGCTAGTATGATAGATTGAGAAAATGTTAAGCAATTTTTATCTCCAGTTTTTTTTATCACAAAAACGAGAGACAAATTAATGGGGTCACTGTGAAGTGTTCCATGCGTCATTTTTGACTTTGTGAGACACGGGTGATTTCTAAGGCTTTCCGGTATGTTATTTCTGAATTTTTGGTCAGTTTTCTTATACTTGCTATAATTGTAGAAGTATCCACAAAAAAGGCGTTAAATTTATAGAAATTGTTAATTGTCATATGAATGCTAAAAGTTTCGATATGGAAACAAGTTGAAAACAATAACGTTTTACAAAATCCCTAATTTTTTTTTTGCAGACTCATATCAGAAATTTGCCTTGGATGGCTCATGTATTATTTTTGAGAATTCCGATAAATATATTTACACAATTTTCGCCTTTCAAGATGCAAATTTAAAAATTCGTTATTCTCAAAATACTGTGGAAGACATAAAAATGTAATCGACGATTAGCATAATCGCTTCCTCAATTTTTTATACTGGTAAACACAGTAACAAACATTTTTTATGGAATGAACTTGACTTTGAAAAATATACAATTTATTTAATATTGGATATTGATTTTCCAGAACAAAGAGTGTAGGCGCTGGACCTCTGCTAACAACATTCTCTAATTATAAAGTATATTATTATTTCCGGTTATTGAAATTTAATAGAAAAATCAAATTCAATTTTTGTGACAATTAACTTATTTCACAGGAACTCAACATATCCTCTAGTTGGGTAAAAATTAGTTTCTTGTAAAGAATGGGTTTTGTAAGGACTATATTTTTATGGTTTTATTTATAGGAACAAATAAAAAATACTTTATCTAAAAAATCATTTTTTTCGATTATTTTTAAAAAAGTGAAGGCAAGACCTCAACCTCATACGATTTTTAAATTTTTGTTATTACAGTTATGAAATTGGAATGTGATAAGTGAATTATAGAAAAAAAAAAAACAATTCGTCCTGTTTCTGCGGCGAAAATTAAATTCTCAATCAATTTAACAAGTTTCCCAAAAAAAAAACTTCGACATATAATTTCCTTTGATATCAAATATCTTTCAAATAAATCAATTCTTTTGAGAACTAATGGATTTCGTCTTGTTAATTTTCTAACTTATCAATTTGTTTTCTCTACACTGAGGGAAAAATCCCGTTGCGAAATCAAGCACGTATGTTGTCATTTTCGCAACGACCCGTTGTTATATTTTTCAACAACGGCTGTTGGTGAATTGTGCACGAACGTGCTCAAATTGACACCGAGACGTGGTCAACTTTCGGTACCAACAACAGCCGTGCTTAATTTGTCCATTTGTAATATTGGTAATTGCAGCCGATTACACACGAGTAAAAAATGACAACGGTGGTGCATGATTCACACACGGTCGTTGTCAATATGACACCGGTCGTGTATGAATTATGCACCACCACCTGCATAATGATGCACCACCGTTGTTACTTTGTACACCGACGTGCATGAATCGTACACGATCGTTGCCATTTTAGCAACTACCGTGTATGAATCATGCACCACCGTTGTCATTTTTTTTACTCGTGTGCAATCGGCTGCATATTTACCATTTTTTCCGTGTTATTGAAAGAGAAAGGACGCATTGTGCAAAAAATTTATTGAAAATGAATAATAATTCGCAAGATCCTCAAAATATCATTGGTGAGTTGTTAGAAATCGATGGCAATATTGTTGTGGTTCGCGATACAAACCATTGCAGCAGTCAAGATGCGGAAAACAATGAGGACGATTATATGTTAAGGGAGTTCTTAAAAGGAATAAATATGGAGTCGCTTTTTGAACAATTAAAAGGTAAGTAAATAAAAATGAATTTTTCAGTTAATCAGTGTAATTAACAAAGAATTTTCTTTTTTGTTCTTTTAGCATCACATGTAACATTTCGCAGCTTGCAGTACTTGAAAAAAGAAGATTTAAAGGAAGCAGTGCCACCATTGGGACTGCGTGTTGAATTCAGAGAAAAGCTCTTTGCTTGGAAAAAACGAAAGGTACGTATTATTTGTTTTACAGAGTTGAACTCAGTATTAATATTGTCATAACAATAGCTCGGGATTGATGACGAAACTATGTCAGTTCCATCTAAAATAGGTGAATGGTGGAAACGCAACGAGACACCTGCAAGTACTCCTGGTACTCCCGACACTACAGGTTCGAACTGCTCAAAAGCCAAAGGAATTTTGTCAGAGGTAAGGTAAGAGTAATATTTGTGTAAGCATAGTTAATGTAGTTTTTTTATTTAATATAGGATCTAACGGAATTGTTAACACATACCTCGAAGGGGAAACTAGCGCTTGAATGTAGTAGCGTTAATAAGAAATTAAGTGACGAGCAAAGAGATGATATAATTAATATAATTATTGAAGATATTTTAACCAACAATGTTACTCTTTACACTCAAGACTATATGCGCATATTGGATGAAATTTGTTCCGTTTTTCCTCTTGAAAACGAAATGAGGGTAAGATTAACAATATAAACAACGTATCTGATTATGTAGTTTCTTAACTTATAATATGTCTTTATTTTTAGGATTATTATTACATTTCAAGAAAAGGAAAGAACAACGCAAGCGGAAAACTTTATGCCAAGTATAGAAACAAGAAGTCCAAAAGAATAAAGCTTTTGATTTCCGAGCCTAGCACAAGCAAAGCAGCAACTCACACATCTCCTAATTTTTGTAACAAAGATGTTCCCGAAATTGATGAATCAGTTGAAAATTCATTGAAAGCTTCCTTACTAAGAGAATGTAATGATTGGGGATCGATCTGCGAAAAATGGAAAAGATCTTTTAACATACGGCAAAGAGATATAAAAAATTTAAGTAGCCATACATTTCTCCTTGAATGGACGAAGTTGTCCGATGCAAGAGCTTCAGAATTGGTAAGTAGCCATGAGCTATTTATTTGTATATGGATACTAATGTTTCGTTTTAGGTCAACATTGATTTCGATATTATGTATCCACAGAAAGGCAATCTTCTACTTTCTAAATGGGACCAATTTAAGAAAAAAATTTACAATTATTATGGGAAAAATATTCATAACGAACATTGCAAACAACTCTTCGCAAATGTTTTGACGGCAAGCAGCATAGGTAAATTTTAATTCCTGATTTATCATAAACATTAAAAGTAATATTTATTTTATATTTCGGTTGCAGATGCTCAAGATTATATATACGCAATACTGTTGAATTCAGTTTTACCATCACCTGCTAGGTTTAAATGTGGAAACGGTAAATTACGAAAAAAAGTAACAATAGCTGATTCGCAGGAAAGTTTCGTACTGCGACTACCGACAATTAACGATTATAAAAGGCAAATTGATACAGTCACTGAAAAGTATTACAATGCTGGATTAACTATACAGCCATTTATAATTGTGGAGGGTTTGTCCGATTTCAATATAAAAGGTTTTTATGTTTTTTTTAACCACAATTTGTTAAAATTTCAATCGTTCCTCGAATGTTTAGATACATGTTTTAAAATTTTTCATGCACTTTCTTTAAAATATCCAAATGCCTGCCAAATTCCATGGATTTTTATCCAAAAATATTTTTATGAAATTAATACTGTATATGATATAAAATCAGTTAATTTGACTTCACTTATTAATTTCTGCAACAATAATTAAAGTACAATTCAAAATGTATATTTGCTTTCGTTGCCGTAAGCATTTTGATAAGGCAAATCTTTTAATAGCTCATTTGAAAACAGACCATTTAATGTCCACTAAATTTTTAAAAGTACAATGCGTTCAGGACAACTGTAAGCAAACATTTACAAAATTTACGTCATTCAGAATTCATTTAGAAAAACTTCACAAGAATCACACAAAAGCTCCACCAATGGTTAAAGCCATTAATGTGCCAGTTGAAATGTCATCATCAAAAGAAAATGATTATACAAACAGTGAAACTGTTATTAACAACAATACAATAGAAAAGGATTTAAATGTTTTGAAAAAGAAAACCTTATATCTGTCTTTACAATTACATGGTCAAAGCTATATGCCTAGAAATCATGTTATAGAAATACAACATTCTGTTTCAATTCTGCTTTCATCCATTTCATGTACAATTGAAAAATATATAACTGATCATCCAAATTATGAAGACTTAAGGTACTTACTAAACTTTTGTAAAAATCCTTTCGAAGAAACTAGAACGGAATATAGACTTTTAAAAATTTTAAAAGAACTAAACTTTTATGATGATCCAAAGGTTTATGTAATTAGCAATCAAGTCTCGGAAATTGTTATCAGCGGAAATCCCAGTTTAGGTCCAAAGTTATCCAATATTTATATAATGCCACTGAAATTCATGATAAGTGCCCTTTTTAAAATTCCAAATCTCTTAGATTTGACATTAGAAAACTCCAAAAAATTCCTAAATTCACCTGTTTTACAAAATTTTACAAACGGTGAGTTATATAAAACTAAATTATTAAAATATCAGTACAATTTAGTTATTCCCTATGTCCTTTACATGGATGATTTTCAAATTAATAATCCTCTTGGAACCCATACATTTTCCATATGTGGTTGTTATATTAGCTTTCCTTCAATGCCACAGCACTTGTTGTCAAAACTTGATTATATATTAACTGCTGCGTTTATACCATCAAAGGATTTAAAAGAACGTGGAAATGAAGTTTCATTTCACAATCTTGTAGAAGAGTTAAAAATTCTAGAAGAAGGGGTTGAAATTTGTGTTCAACAAAGTGTTCAGAAGGTGCATTTTATTTTAGGTGTAATTATTGGAGATAATTTAGCAGTTAATAGTATTTTAGGCTACGTGCAATCATTTAACTCTAAAAGATTTTGCCGGGTATGTAGAAGAAAAAAGTCCCAAATGCAATTCGACGCAATTCAGCATTTAGATAGTTTAAGAAACCAAGAGAATTACAACTCAAATGTATTGGAAAATAATTTTCAAGAAACAGGTATTAAAAACAAGTGTATCTTCGAATCTTTACCAAATTTTAACGTCACTGAAAATTTTTGTTTTGATATTATGCATGACATTTTCGAGGGCATATGTGTCTACGATATGTCTAATGTAATTCTCGGGCTGATTCAAGAAAATATTGTTACGTTAGATTGTATTAACAGCAGAAAATCTTTATTCCAATTTGGAGAAATTGAAGTGGGAAATAAATCTGGACCACTAGATTTATGTAGATTGAAAAACTATAACTTAAAAATGACAGCTAGTGAAACTATGTGTTTTACTAATTTTTTACCTTTAATGGTAGGCGATTTAATTCCTTTCTCCAACGATCACTGGAAAGTTTTTATAATATTATTACAAATAATCGATTTACTTTTAAGACCAAGTTATATAGAAGACGATTTAATAAAATTGGAAGAATTAATTAGAGATCACCATTCACTTTATATAACATTATACGGTTCGTTAAAACCGAAACACCACTTTCTTGTCCACTATCCCACAGCTATCCGAAAATGTGGTCCCCTTAAATATCTCTGGAGCATGAGATTCGAAGCTAAACACAAGGAAGCAAAAGCCTATTTAGGAAATACTACATCAAGAGTAAATCCCTGTCGTTCATTATCTATTAAGTCTGGATTGAAATTTTCCAATTTTTTATTAAAACACGAAGATAACTTAGAACCAAATGTTATCATTAATACGCATACCATCGAAGATTTGGCAAAAGAGGAATATTGTTACAAAAAAAGTAAGCCAGTTTTAAATTACCAAAATTGCAAAGTGTCTGATGACATTTTTTTTAAGGGAACTAGGTATAAAAAAAACTATTATTTAGCAACAAATAATGCCGCAATTGAACTTTTCAAAATTAAACATTTAATAATTGAAAATGAAAATGTTTACATTTTATGTAACCAAGTAAAAGTTAAAAACTTTGATTACCATTTACAATCGTATGAAGTTGGTTCTCTGAATGAGGATACAATTTTTTTAATACCAATTTTAGATTTTATTACTTACCCATTTCACTTATATCCTATGAATAATGGAAAAGTTTATTTCAGATTTAAGTTAATTTAATTTGTTTCTATACATTGAATATATGTAATTCGAATTGTTTTGTTAAATCAAATATGTATTTATATTGAATTTATGTAATTGGTTTCGTTCAATAAAATACTTTTCAAAAAATGTCGTTTCTTCTACTAAGGGTATAAAATGGAAAAGGAACGGATATCAAAAAATGACCACCATTGATTTCAATCTGACAACGGGCGTTGACAATCCGACAACGGAGCGTTGACAATCTGACAACGAAGCGTTGACGATCTGACAACGAAGCGTTGACAATCTGACAACGGGGCGTGCTCGAAATGACCACGTATGTGCTCATTTCATGCACATCTGTTGTTGAAATCGTTGCCAAAATCTCGGTGTCAAAATGACAACAGCGTGCTCATTTTGACACCAAACGTGGTTGATACACTATCATACACGGATGTGGTCATTTCATACACGGATGTTGTCATTTTTTCTCTGGGTGTAAGTTTCGATAACTTTTACAAAAATCCTCTTTAAATTGTTTCTATCCATTCAAACAAGTTATGCCAACGAATAAAATCGCATAAAATATGCACAAAAAAAACTTCCCTAAATTCTGTTCCAAGAAATCATGTAAAAATAATTGAAAAACTTTCTCAAATCTCAAAACTGTTTTTCTTTTTAAATGTGCAGGATGATTTATATTTCTCTTCAAAAAAAAAAGCAAAACAGCAAAAAAGAAAGCTAAAAACCGACACAGTAATCACCACCTCAATCACTTTCCCCAGTAACATGGTTTTATGACCACCTGCCATTCTGTCCTGTGTCTAGTTCGGCGTTCATCATTTTATGTAAATTTAAGGCATTTTCACGTCATTGCTCCACTTTGTCTTCTGGGGCAATTTTCCTTTAAATGTCTGTAATTATTTTTATTTCTTCGCTTGCTTTCTTCTGCATTTCGCAATGGTAAATTGGAATTTGGGTTTGTGAGTGTATGTGCGAGGGAAATACTTACGACAAGTTTTTTGGTTGGTATGGTGGCGGGTGGCTGTGGCACGGGCGGACTAATGGCTTTAATGGCCTGCGTTGGCGGGGGAAAAATCTCCGCTGGCTGCTTAACGTAAAACAGATTTACTCCAAAGTGTGAAATTTTGTTGGATTTTCTAAAACACGGTAAGGGAAAAAACCGTTTCCTGCTGCTCTCGGTCTAGCGTTGGCTAGCACTTGGCAGGCTTCTGGAGCAGGGGCTGGTGACTGTTGTTGTGTTAAGCGGAGTTTGTGGTACAACAACAACACCGCTTTTTGTTGGCAACTTTATTGGTCTCCAATGGCGCAAAATAATTAACACAACACCTGTAATTACAGCTGTTGATGATGACTCTGTGATTTGGGTTGTACGTCGAACGAACAGTGCGTACAAATGGTACTTTTTTAGATATTTTTTTTAGCGAAGTTATTGATTGATTATTAATATTTGATATTTAATGTTCGTTATTTATATATTTTTTAGAATTATTATTTACAATATTTTCACAGTGTTTTTTTGTTTTTGGAATTGTTTTAGCTATTTTTTATTATATTTTTATGCTTGCGACCGCACCGGTTTTGCCTTGCAATTTTAACTAAGTTTTCTAGATTTTTTTTTTTATTTCGTTTTCGTTTCCTAAGAGCTTAAGCAACCTTTTGTGTTAAAAACTCGTTGTTGGGTTTTTTTTTTTTTGTAGATTTTGACGTTAGAAAAACTCGCTTCAAAAATTAAGGTTCTTGATTTAGACAACTTTAGGTAATTTTCGCTTTTTTGTCAGCTTCTCAAAATATATAGGAGGCCGAAAAGAGTTGAGGTTATGTGTTTGTTTTTATTTAAGGATTTGTTGGGGTTAATATTTTGTTATTTTTTTTTTGGTTCTATGTGAATTCACAACTTTTTTAAGAAGCTCTTGAGATTCTCTACAAACAAAAATTTTTACATGGAATTTGTTGTTGCTGTTGTTGGTTGGTTGGTTGTTTGTTTTAAAGCTCTGCTACAGACAAAAAGTAGATTTACTTTTTTTTTTGTGTCGAGTGTGTTTATGGATTGGTTTCTTGTTGTTGTTGCTGCTACTACTGTTGTTGTTGTTGAGTGGGTTGACTGATTGCACTTGAACGCGTTGTTTATTTCGTAAGGTTATCCTTGCCTTGACGTAAACTCTAGCAAAAATGTACGAAAATTCGAGTCTCTCCAAATTGGGGAATTTCCTCGTTTCTCTGTCGTATTTGTTTCGATTCGAATAGAAAATATATTTTAAATTATTGCTAAGCTTTGCGAATGCGGTGCCAATTCGCTTGTTTGATTGATTTACAGACTGACTAGCTGATTGATTTGCTTGCTGGTTGGCTGGCTGATTCGACTACAACAATAAATTAACAAATTGCTAACTTGGCTTTATCGATTTTATTTTTAGTTGGTTTGGTTTGGTTTCGCTACTACAACAATTGTGAATTTTAGAAATTTTTATTTGGTTTACTTGGTTTTGTTGTTGGTTTTAACTGAACTATATATTGAACTACTGCACGGCTAAGGAACGCAACGACTGATGGACTCGCTTGTCTGATAACGACTGAAGGTCCTCAAAAATGGGGAGCACTGAAGCACCAAAGCGGCATACAACAATATTTTGATTTTGCTGTCTCAGCTGCTGCTGGTGCTGCGGCTGCGGCTGTCACCGTTGTTTCGTTTTCGTGGCTGTTTCAGTTTCAATTTGTGATACTGATTCTGCTTCCAATGTTTCGCTTTACATTTACTTGACTTGGAGAATACGCTCACACACAGACGTACACACACACACAAACACACTCTCGCAGAGTCAAACATAAAAGGCTCAAACCCAAAAGCAAGAAATCACATTCGTTCAGTCTGTGCTGTGCAAAAAAAAAAACAAACACACACTCACATATACACTCACGCAGAGTCCACCCGCAATCTCCAATTGAACCGCACACACACACACACCTCCCCCTTAATGAATACGGGGAAGGAAACAAAAAAGGATTCACAAGTTATTCTCGCTCTCCCTCTTTCTGCTCCTGAGTATGGCAAACAGGAAATGTAAACATTTCAGTAAAGGAAAAAAAAACAACAAACCCTTCTTTTCATCAGCAGAGAGCCAAAAGAGAATGAGAGCGAGAAAGA